TATTCTATTCTATTCTACTCTAAACTGTTCTAAATTATCCATCTTGAAATGTTTTGTCTCTCAGTTATTAGCCAATTAAATTAAAAATCAGAGGTAGCTTAAATTAAAATGGTTGAAGTTTTTTCTAGTTTGATGTCTTTAGTGTGACGATGTTATTCTGATGTGAATAACTTTTTTATTTATGCTCTTTTATGAATAAATATTTTATGTGTATATTCATGTCTTGTTAGTTTCTTACTTCATGGCTTCAGGCTGCCCAGGCATCCACTGCACATCTTCCTGTTGCAGGAAGGGCATGGTTTGGTTTTTGGCTTTCTCATTCCTGCAAATGAAGATGGAACATGTAGGGATTATTTCAGGTCTGTTTTGGTGAGAAGATTACAAAGATAATTTCTGACCATAGAAATAAATAATATTACGAGGCAGTTATACACCATATTAAGGAAAAAAAGTCAGTTACGAGATTAAAGTCGATAATATTGAGTTAATTATGAGAATAGGGTTAAAAATACTGAATTAATTATAGAAAAGATTGCTAAAATAGAGCAGTACTAACGTTACCTGGGTTCCCAAGCAAGTGTCTTACACATGAGAATATATCACAAAAGAAAAAATATATAAACTTTTGCAGAAAGTGTAAAGTGTAAAGACCTCAGAGCTGGACTGATGTGGTCCACTTTTTTGGTCTTAGTGAGGACTCGAGCAGCAGAGTTCTGAATGAGCTGTAGTTGTCTGACTGATTTTTTAGGTAGACCTGTAAAGATGCTGTTACAGTAATCAAGCCTACTAAAGATGAATGCATGGACTAGTTTTTCCACAGCCCCATCCTCCAGGGCATGAAGTCCCAGATGAGGGGTCACTCAGCAGCCGCAGAACATAAGCTAGGGGGGTTGCAGTCACGTGCCCATGCGCTCTGCCGGCAGCCAGCTGTGCCAGAGTGATTGAGCCCCAGGCTGAGAGGCCGAGGGCACCCCACCCCTGAAGGGGCCTGAGCGAGCCCCAGGCTCCAGGCCTCGACACGCAGCCACCAGGAGTGAGCCTGTGCGTACCTGGATGCATACATACTCTTTTCTCTATCATACTTTTTTTGGTTTACAATAAAAGCCAAATTGGTTTGCAAAATCTAATGTCATGTAAGAAGCATATAATGTGTACAAGTCTGTATAATCCCTTGACAAATAAAGAATGGATAAAAGGGAATTTTTCCTTCCCACTGTCGCCAAAGTGCTTGCTCATATGATTGTTGGGTTTTCTCAAAATTTGTAACATTTTACAGTCTACCTTAATATATAAAGTGCCTTGAGGTGACTGTTGTTGTGATGTGGTGCTGTATAAATAAAATTGAACTGAGTAACTGAGTGCTATGAGAGGAACTTTAGACTGGCAGCGTGTCCAGGATGCGCTCCAACTTTTGCCCTCCTGAATCTGAAATGGGTAAGCAGAGGAAAATGGATGTATAAATGCTGTTTATTTAACCCTTTACGACCTACCATAGAAGTCTGCCACAGCTTATCTTTATATTTTTTCATGCTGCATTTTAAGTTGCCATACATCAGTACAACTGTTATAGACCAAATTGTAATATGTGTATGCATTAAGTCCATAGTAACTACATAAATTGCAAAAAAGTGAAATAAACAACAAAAAAAATTAAAATTGTTCTTTTTTTTTTTACATATATTTGTA